AGACCCAGCATGGCAACGCTGGCTCTTTGTGGCTCTAACCTGAGGAATTTGACTTGCACACACACAAAAACTTCTCAGTACTTCAGTAGCAAATGATGCACACAACACAGTGCCAAAATTTAGTGCAAATAAATATTTTATCTGATCAGCAGTGAGCTGCACAAATAAAGCACAACACTGCACTTCTCTGAAGCTTCAGCTGTTTGCTTGTAACATCATAGCAGCATAATCCAGTTAATAATGGGATACAGCGAGGCCTGTCCTAATCCCTTGTGCAATAACGGCTGCTTTGCCACAATTGTTGGTGCATAAAGATTGATCACAGTTGTCCTGGAAATAATGCAGTTATTTCACACTAGTCACATAAACCCAGCAGCTGGAACTACAGGTGGGGTCTAGTGCAACTTTAGCAGGACATACAATTTATAAAGATGATCACAAAATTAGGTCAGCAACGCAGAAGGGCCATCGAAAACCTTCTCCTCACAGTCTGTCCGCACTGTGGTCCTTTTGCGCCTGTCTCCTCCTTGCTTGTCTTTCCCAGAGCTGTCACTCACCTCAGCCCATCTTGCAGTGACGTGCCTTCTCTTCTGCACTTTGCTGTTCTTGCTGCAGCCACATACAGCTAGGGCACGGCCAGGCCCCAGCTGCAAGGTGGAGAGCTCTGTTATCCTGCCACAAACCCAGAAGCTGCAATGCCGGGTTCAATGTTAGGAGACAACTGAACTCAAACAAGCAAACACTCCCAGAAATGCAAACTCTCCATAGTAACTACAAAAATAAGTCAGGCAATGTGTGGAAAGCACACACGCACGAAAGAGGAAAAGAGGCAGCTCCTGCAGGAAAATGGTTGAGTACTTGAACAATTTCATGGCAAAAGAATCAGTTACCTTTATCCTCCAAAGGAGACCTTATCTTTAAATCAGTCCTTCACTAACAGGAAAAGGAAATCAAAGTCCAATTCCATCTTGCATTTGACTTTTGTGTGCCTGCTCTGCAATATTCTATTGCTGCCCTTTGTCAGCACTCTCGTTTCCAGAGCCTCTCCTGCTTTTCCCATAAACAGCTCCTGCCTTTACACAATTGCAGCCGGAAGGCCACCCCTGCTGAGCAGCACAACAGTTGTCCCCAGCAGACAGGGCACAGACTTACTGCTCTTGAGGCTCAGGCAGAGCCCAAGCAAATAATCAGTCCTTGGCCACGGCTGCACCCGGACAGGGCTGGCTTACATCCCTCGGAGTCTGAAAACAGGACTGCTGGAGAAAACAGGGCAGAAATGCCCAAGTTTTCAGCCAAGCTAGTTAGCTTAGTGCCAGCACTTCTGGAAGCAATCACAGAGCTAACCACAAGCCCAGGAGCAGCCACGCCATACGACACTTACTGCAAGATGAGAGGCTGTGATATTGGAACAAAAAACAGGACTTGAGGAATGAAGCATAAAAGACAGTTGATTTTCTTGAGCAGAGCTTGATTATGAGAAGATTGGGTGGATGACCCACTGCAGTAAAAGTCGTGCAGGGGCTGACTTGCAGCAGCAGGTATGGTAGACATATACACAAGGAAGCCTCTGGTAGCAAACAAAGAACAATCACTACAATGATCAAAGTGCCCCAAAAGGCTCATATATGAACCAGAGTGCACCAGAGCAATAACCACCTGTGAGGGCACCATAAAACTATTTCCACTTATAGCACAGACTTTTTTTTAAGTTAATTAGATAAACACTGAGTGCTAGTATTCCAATAGATATCAGGAATTGATGTTACTTTTAGATCATTAAATCTATACTGCAGTCCTCTACAGCACAATACAAAAAATATTAATAGCTTCCATTCCTTGCATTGTGTTAATGCAAACAGGGGAGAAAACATAAGATGTTTTATTCAAGGAAAAAAAACCCTGAGCACTACACGTAAAAGAAAACAGCTTACAAGACATAAATATAAAATAGGTAAGAGATCTCAGAACACATTTGCTGTCAAAATTCACATTCCAGGCAAAGGATACTAAATTAAATCTTCTGACAAAATCCCCATGGACTCATGTAAGGTCTATTAAATTTGTCACAAGCTCAGCTCCCCCACTGCTATTCTAAGCAATCTGAGTGGCACCAAGAATATCAAATCTCAGTACCTGCTTTATAAACTTTTAAATATGTCTGGAAGCATTGGTTTTCATTATGGTATAAACATCTTTACATCTTGCATTTAAAGCAGTCATTTATAGAAGACTTTTAAAGTACATTAGTACATTCAATCTTGCTCAGCTAAATTGGTTGAGAGGAAAAGCTGGCAGATGGGACATCACCCAAATCAGCAATAGTGCGTGTGCTCTCCAACTCTTACAATACAGAGACTGATCAATCTTCCCACTACTGAAGTCAGTAATGAATATACTGTTTTTGAACTTGCTGAGTTTCTAGTCACCTTTACTTACTACAGATATGTTCCCCCCCTTACTTATGCAGGTTTTCATTACTGGTCAAGCAAATTTTACGTCGTAGATACATCAGTCTTCCCATTACCTCATTTGTCATTTAAAACAAGCTCCTCAAAGCATCAAATAAGAAACTGTGCAATAAGCCTGCACAGGGCTTACAAATCTTTAAATATTAATTCAACGCACACATACCCCCACACACACAGTTTTTGGTCACAGCACACCTCAACTCTGCAACTCTATTTGATAGATTCTACCACAACCATTTTCACTCCTGCAGTTTTCATTTAAGCCTCTTCCAAACCCTGGATCTTCTGCTCCTCACCTTGTATTACATGAGCCTCAGGGAAAAGTCTGAAACCCAGAGACACAAAAGTTTCTCTCTCCAGCAACCAATTCTCTCCCACCATTTGTCTGTATATCTCTCCCATTCCCTCCCTCCTCATACCATGAGACTAATTGCTACACTCCCTTCAGCTCCTCATAAATCTAAATATTCATCAATTCTTACCCACAAATCAGATGGTTCCTCTGGTTGTTTCCCCAGGATCCTCTGAAAACTGCAGCAAACCACATCAGCACTGACAAGGAGCAAGGCAAGTCTCACCTCCTCCAGCACAGAAACATCACCTGGCATTCCTTTCCCATTCCCAGAGAGAAACCACTCACAAAAACACTGGAGGAACCTGAAATTAACCACCAGGTCTGCTGAACAGTCGCTTCTTTTTCGTCGCCCCAAAGAATCACTGGAAACAGCTTCTAGCCATTTCAGCAACTGGTAAAAGCTGTTGGTCTACTCAGAGGGCAGCAGAGTTCTCTTTCGCCTCATCCAACATGTCCCCTGCAACCCAGCAATGAGTAAGGAGGTGTCTGTACCATGAGGTCTCTTCCCCCAGTCTCCTCTCTCCTTTCCCATAGATAGGTAGTATAACAGGGAAATACTGAGAGAGACAGCATTTGTACCACACTTTATTACACTGCTAAAAACTGGGAACCAGCTCTGGCAAAACCCTCTTTTCTGTTGGACATCACTAGTACAATGATATTACAAGGTCACTGTCCCACAGAGGGAAGCACACAAACTCTCCCAATACTGTCATTTGCAACTTTGTCCTATTAAAAGGACAATTCAAGCTGCAAAGTGTAACACTGTTACAACTAGGGCCCTCCCGTTGCTGGCATATTTGCAATTCCAGTTCCATTTCAATGGCAAAGAGCAGGCTCCAAACTTTTGAGAGTGATACTGCAGCCTGAAGGAGACTTTGGGCAAAAGGCAGTAACACAGATATTCACAACACAGTAAGATATAATTATAGCAAAGCATGGAAGGCTGCATTTGGCACAGCACTTACATTTCAAGAACAGAACTTGCCCATGTGATTATAAATAAATCAGTATTCACAGCAAGAGGCAAGACAGGTTACCATAACCTTTTGTGGGAGAGAAAGGGAATCAGTAAAAGCCAAGTCTGCAGTGGTATCGTTTATACTTCAGTCTTACCAGAAACCAGTATTTTGACTTAAATTCCCTTTTAAAACAAACCTGCTATGTTATACTTTATACTGTGCCAAATAAGGATCTAACTTTATTACACCTACATACATCATACAGCAGACCCGTATCAGTCAAAGTGCTTGCACAACTGCATAGCTAACAGTCAGAAGAATAATGCAATTTATGGCTACAGGCACAGTCAAAATGACCCTTTCATTTATTGTATTTGGAAATACTGATTTCCAAAATAGAGCACTTTCAGGGTAACCAGAAAACATACTCTTTCCAAACCTGCAGCCTAAAAGTGGTGAAAGAGACATTTGAGAATGAGGTAAACATGCTGCATAAGCTACATATTTAAATCCAAATTCCAAAGTTATTTGTCTTAATCGCAAAATTATTTAAAACTGAACAGAAAGAAAACACTGTATACTTATTAAAATCTGAAAATCAGGTTGACCCTAACCCCAAATTAGAAAATAACTCATTTACAAAGGGCATTTCCTACTGCTTTTATTTTATTTATTTTATTTTTTTAACTTGGCCAGTTTTGCTGCTTTTCCCATTGGGGTGTTCCTTGCAGAATACCTGCTCAACCTCAGCTTGTCTCCTTCAGCTAATTTGAGCCAAGACTGGTACTCAGCACACAATGTCACAACACTCCAGCAAACACTGTCCTTCCAGCTCAGGCTGCAGCCTGTGTTACGGAGCAATGGCAAAGCTTTATGACACACAGTGTTCAGAAGAGAGACTGGTGCTTAACAGAGTGTCAGAGACCTCTATTATAATTCTAAACCATTTGAAAACTAAGTTATAATTAAAAATAGTGTCTTTTGTGATTCTCGCATTTTTATTTAAAATGTGTCCTTGCAGGTTTGCTTTTTTTTTTAATATTCCCTTGTATCAGTGTTTAGTTCCCATAAATCATTCCTGTCAGGCAATGCAGCTTTATGAAAAGATGGTATCTTCCATCCCCAACACATTTTCAATAAACTCTGTAGAAGACAGTCAATGATCAGACTAAGATAAAGTGCATACACTCCTTTCTGATATAGACAACAAAGTTATGGATTGAAAAAATAAATCATACTGAAAATTGAAAAACACACAAAAAAATCCTACTGTGGCCACTTAGCACCCCACAATTAAGTTGTCCCACTAGGTACTGCCCAAAAATACTTATCTTCAAGTGTCTGTTAGCTTAAAAAAAGGAACTTAAAGCATTAAAAATAATGGTTCCTTTTCAATTAGGCTCTGAGAATCACGAATTTATGTAATCCTTGAAAACTAGTTTCCCTAAGGCTGGCATACTGCCTTGACAATTTGCAGGTAGTTTCTATTTTACCCTTTGGATCCAGGCTTCAAGCTCGCAAAAGCTTTGGAGTTCTTAAGGGAATGTGAAATTTCATTAAGAAAAGAAATAAAATGATAGTCCCTTTCTGACTTCTTGGACTCAAAAATAACTACAATGGTGAAATGAGGTTCGGGGCGAGTTAGAAAGTATGTGCTTTGGACTTTGTCATCGTAGAAGTGAACAACTTTCTCCAAACTGTTGAGGTCAGAGGTTCTATCAGTCATAATCATGATTACATTGGGCCAGTGCATAACAGGCCTGTCACTGGGCAGAGACACCACTGCAGGGTACTGATCCACTCCTTTGGGGGCTTCCCTGTAAGAATGAGGGTGATGATAACCATGTCCCTGAAAACTCTCTGATCCACGATTGTCAAAAATTAAGGAAACATTGATGGCATCGTACTTCCGGATGAAGCTGGAAATCTTCCCAAAGTAATCAGGATTTGTTTTAGCAGTCAAAGTTTTCATTTCAGATGCTGTTGTTTGTCGACTAAGGGCTTCATGAAAGTAAAAGCTAAACTTGGCAAGGAGAATGTTTTTGAGCTTCATCAGCCAGAGGAAGAGGTGTGGAGGTTGTACAGCCTTCTGAGACTGCCCTCCAAACAGATGCTTCTTGGTCTCTCGCTGTTTCTCAAAAATTTGGCCCCAAGTCTGGAGTTTTGTGTGAGCACTGTGCAAGTTGACCAAGGATGGAAGGAACTTCCACTCTGAGATCTGAGCCTGAGCCTTTAAGAGATGTGCAAGCACATCCACTTCCAGCTGGAAACTGCTTTCAAGAGGACTGAGGATTGGATGATGAAATCTAGAAAACATAATGTTAGTCAAGACATGAGAACTGCTGTAAACAACACCGAAATAATCAGGTAGTGCTTGTCAGTTCACAGACAGAAGAGCAAACATCAAAGCAATGAGTAAATAAAAAATAACCTTGCTAATTTTTAAAAAACAGTTCTTTTAACATAATTAGGGTAAATATTTTAATGAATATACAGCACTTCGCATTTGACAAAAACACCTGTCAGACATTTCTCTATCAAAGCAAGGGAATTATATTTTATCAGTTGAAACACAATCACTTTTTATCTTGATTCATTAACTACTGTAACACCATTTCTTCTTAAATTCAGATGGTTTTGTTCCAATTTAAAATCCCTTCTGGTACTAAAATATGTGTTGGTAGCTCTGGAATAGCAGTAAGACATTAAGTGAAATCAAAGGAATTATGTTACAAATTTGCTGTTTGTGTGAGAAGCTATAAGGAAGACAAGTGAAGCCTGCCTTTTTCTTTTTAAATTCACAGTTAAATTGTGACGGAAAATTAGTCAATAAAACCATAATTAACTGTATTTACAAATAAACCAGGTCTCAAACTTCAAACTTTGGTGTACTAGAAGCAACGAAGGGGGAGAACATTTGGCAGGACTTCAAGACATCACAACGAAGACACTGTTAACAAGCAACTTCTCTCACTAAAAATTCAGGTCAAGATCAGTTCTCAATTTAACAGATGTTTAAAAAACAAAAAACACAACAGAAAACAACACCTTATCAACCTTATCAAGGTAGAAGTGCCACTGCGCATCTTATTTACAAGGTGATCCTACTATGAGAACAAATCTTGACGAAATGGAATGTTATAGAACAATTCAATACCTTTCTCTTCTCAATTTATCTTTTTCTAGGCATCAGGAAAATTAAGACAGATCCAGCCTAACTCCCCACCATTGATATTCAAATTACTTGTAAATTTATATCATCATTGATAAACACACCCTAAATTCAAACTGTGCAAAATTGTTCTGGTTACAGAAGCTAAATGCGTTACTGTCTCTGCTGAAGAATTGTGGCCTTTACAGTAAATGCATTGTTCCCTAACAGGCATTTAGGACCTCTTAAAGAGGTCTCCAACAAAAAACAACCAACAGTTCAAAGACAAGACTCGATGAGGTTTCCATTTAAGTAAAAACAGATGTATCCCCTCATTTCAGAAAAATATCCTGGGTCTTGTTATTGCTTAAAACAAGGAAGTTTATACTGAGTTCTTCCAACCTTTAACAGCTAATCTTCAGACTCTAAGCTTCTAGGATACAATATATGAAATCCAATTTTTAAAATAGTTGGTTCAAAACCAAAACACTTAATTTTGTGGGCCAGAAGAGAGAATGAGAATTTTAGGCTTTTCATCTGCTCTCCCTTCACTATTTTTAATTTGACTTTCCATTGAGTTCTTGCCAAAAGATTAATTCTTAGGCTTGTGAAAATTGTCTCACAATTTTATCACTATTTTAAAACATTTCTCTTTTTGACAGCCACAATATATGTCTTGAAAGGACTGGCTATTAAGATGCAAGTGCAAATTTATTTGAAGAAAATGAAAGCATGATTATTACAAATCAGTTCATTCACCACATTCTACATACAGGCCAGGTTAGGTGACCAGCCACCTTCTGTACACAGTGCACATCAGCAGCCATCATATCTACCTGCTCCAGCAGATGCACAATGATTGCTGGCTACTTAGCTGGGCTGTGAAGTCCAGAATGTATTTACTTTCTTTCAACAAACAAGAGTTAATTAAAAATAATATTCTGCTAAGGGGCAACATTATATATTTCCAATGGTTTTAGTATTCAGCAGAAATACAATTTTGTGGACATGTATTAGAAGGGGGTGAAAAAGGATTATACAACATTACTTGTTCCTTATAGCCCCATCAAATGCACCCTTAGCACAGTGGTCTCAACACACTTGCAGTCAAGACCAGGAAGGTTACTGCTCAGTCTTAAAAGCAATTTAAAAATTCATACTAATGCAGCACTACTAAGTCTCCTGGATTAATGTGATGATGTATGGCTCCCTACTTCTACTTTGCTCCATGGCTCAGAGCTATTGCCATGTCCAAATGGAGACCAGTGAGGAGTGGCATTCCTCAAGGGCCAGTACTAGGACCAGTGCTGTTTAACAGATTTGACACAGACATGGACAGTGGAACTGAGTGAACCCTCAGCAGGTTTGCTGACAACACCAAGCTGTGTGGTGTGGCTGACATGCTGGAGGGAAGGGATGCCATCCAGAAGGATCTTGACAGGCTTGAGAGGTGGGCCCATGCGAACCTCCTCGAGTTCAATAAGGCCAAGTGCAAGGTCCCGAACCTGAGCTGGGGCAATCCCAAGAACAAATACAGGCTGGGTGGAGAATGGACTGAGAACAGCCCTGAGGAAAAGGATTTGGGCGTGCACATTGATAAGAAGCTCAACTGCTTTAAAATGTTCAAGAATTAATTATTTTTCAGATACAACCAATATGACTTGATTGCTGACAGTAAATTAATTCTGTCATTCCTTTACCAGCCACCAGTTATTTGCCCTACATTAAATGAAGAGCTGGTTTTAGACATAAAGAAAAGAAACCAAGGCCAGAACCTCTCTACCAAACATGCTCTGCCTGGCCTTGGCATGGCTGGCTGAAATAATGGCACACAACCTCAATGACCAGTGAGGAATGTATTGACAGAGGGAAGAGACTGGGTAAGGACAAGTTTATTTGACCTTTCACCTGAGAGAGTGGACAGACTGTAATACAGAAATGCTTCCAGCCAGCACGTCAACCTAACAACTCCCAGAAACTTATCTGAGACATGAAAAAAAATTAAGGAAGGACTGCAGGAAGATACCCTTAACTGCACTTTTTGCAGAAGTATTCTTTGCATCACTGGGGAGGACAATGCAGTAGTTACTGAATTAGCTCTAACAGATCTTAGAACACCTCCGTCTTAAAGACACTGCTTATTCTTTAAGGAGGTTATAATAATGCCTTAGAAGTACAAACATGTTACTGAATTTTATTTAAGTAGCATAATAAAACATTTAATATGTAACAGGTCACTAGTCAGTTCTTCAAAGTATCAGGTTTGGTTTTCAGATTTTTAAGTTCTGTTGACTCAGCACATGCTCAAAGGAGATGGTGATGGATAGTGTACAATGTAAATGAACCTTTTAAAAAAAACTTACCTCCTTTACTCTTTAATGTTTATTAATTGTAACTGAAAACATAAGAGCTCAGAGTACTCTCCTCAAACGTCTTCTTAGACACCATTTCATTAACAAAGATTTTTTTTTTAAATCAGCTACATTTGAAAGCAAACTTCCTACAATAGCCACCTTGCTTTGTTTTAAAAGATACAGAATTTTAGTCTGTTGACACGCATTCAAAAATTATCTCTTTTTTAAAACATCATCACTTTCAAGGCTCCAATGTGTTAGGCAGGAAATACCCATCCCAGAGTAATTTAGAAACATCCTGGATTCTTTTCACAGAATGGTTGAAGTTGGAAGGCACCTCTAGAGATCATTTAGTCCAATCCCACTGCACAAGCAGGGTCAAGTACAGCAGGTTGCTCAGGGCCATGTTCAGTCAGGTTTTGAGTATCTCCAAGAATGAAGACTCTACAACCTCTCTAGTCAACCTGTGACAATGCTTCATCACCCTCACAGTGATTTTTATTTTTTTCTAAGGTTTAAATGGCATTTACTGTATTTTCGATTTGTTCCCATTACCTGTTATGACTCTGCTGCACACCATAGAGAAAAGTCTGGCTCCTTCTTCACTGCTTCCCATCAGCCATGAGCTCATCTCTCTTACTGACTGCTAATTTTAGCAACTGTTCACATCACCAAAATTATTAGATCTGAACTTCAGCAAGATATCAGGGACCAAAGTCTCAGAAATGCTCCTTCTACTGCCTCCAAACCCTCACAAGAGAAGTGAAAACAGGGCACCATAAAACCTCACTAGATAGGCCAGACAGGTGTGGTGTAGCATTAAGTAGACATATATTACTGCCTAAAATTGTCACACAAATATCTATTTTACTTATATAATGATTTTACTGAAGTCCATATGGAATTAAATCACGTTTTCTCTCCACTCCCAAAGAAAAAGCCGAAGATCACCTTTTATAAGGAAAATTACTTTTCCTCTCTACTGAATATGAACATGTTGAGTAGCAATAAAGGAATGGGGAAGACAGCTCCTAGAGCATGATAAGCAGAAACACTCTCCCTTTTGTTTTTCTTCTTCAGAGGAGTAATGTTTCGAGTCTTCACACATCTGCTGCTGCTGAACAGCACTAATCCTCGTGTATGAAATCACTCAAGGGGCTGTGCTGCTCAGCAGTTGAAGTACAGCAAAGTCTTTGCTGTCAAAGTTCAAAGGCTTGCTTTGAACCTCAACATCATTTATTACAGATCATATGTCTGAGTACTTACTGCCAGCAAATGAGCACTGACCTTGAGCTGTATTTCTTTAAGATGGATTCCAAAATGTTTACCAGTTCCTCAGAGTTAATGAACTTTTGGGTGCTGAGCGTGTACATTTTTTCATAGAAGTCAGCAATTTCCATCCGAGCCTGAACAAAAAAACAGAGCTGTTCAGACAGGTGAGAAAGCAGCTCTTCCAAGTGAGGAGCTGTTCCTCCTAGTGCATTGCGACCCGTCGCCACCACCTTCTTCAGCTCATTATGCAGAGATGTGTAGATGGTTCGGATGGAGTCCTTTCGGCTGAAGAATGACTGACCACCTGTTCAGATAAATATGGAGGTATTACCAAAATCCAAGGACAGCAAAGATAGACAGCAATACTGGAAAAGTGTATACAACCACACTCGTTTCTCCCTAGGTGTTCCCAAGTGTTGTTTGATCACAGTATTTTTTAAATCAAGAAACAAATTTCCATGTGTTATTTTGCATGCAACTGAATTAGACATAGGATAAACTTAGAAGCACTTTACATAGTTTCATGCAAGTTACACTTGTGCTAATTCATATTTCAGCAGCCAATGACCACTGCAAAACCTCAGCTCCCTCACATCTGCTTTAGCTATAGTGTGACCTTTCAAAAAAGAGATCAGTTAACTTTGCTACCATAATAGGTGACCTGGACATACTGGTGTCTGTGGAGGTCAGAAGTCTAAAGTCATCATGCAGTTTTAATAGTCTCTATTCCTGTTAATAACTCCAGATCTTTTTAAGGTAATTCCCCTAACAACTCCTCTTCAAACACCAAGCACTCCCACTTGCCAAGCAACCATTAAATGGGAACCACGTGACATCTGGGTGTACAAATAAAATCTTCCAAGTCCCTACACAATCTTACATAAAACAGAATTCAAAAGGAAAACATTGACTGTTTATCTCAGCAAGACAACAGTGCAGGTTAGTCCGTAACTAAACCAGAGAGGGTAGGGGCAAAAAAGCTAGTACTTCTCTCTCTACGCTATGAAGAATCACAGAAAACAAAACATAGTGTCAAAGATATTTAACTTGGACACTACCAAAAGACTGTACCAAGATACTACCTTTAATTCACAACTTCTGTTTACAGATGGCCTTATGTGCCACTGTGGCACTTGAGCTGGAGTGGAAAAAGGATCACAAGAGCTGAACCTGCAGAACTTTTAAAGATCTTCTGAATTTAGGTTCCACTTTAAAACTACTTATAAACTTTATCATGGTGGATAGCCCTTTTCACATCCAAGGTTCAAATATGACCTTAGCAATCTGAGGCAGAAAAGCAGAGACTTGGTTATCATGGAAAAACAGCTACCTTCCTAAACCAAGAGTTGCCCCCAGGGCATGGGTAGCATGAAGAATCATCTACTGCTATTGTTCATGAAGCATATAAACAAAGAAAACTGTGAGCCTTCTGTTACCAATTTTGTCCTTCCTGCAACCACCAAGTCAGCCTTACAGACAGGTTTTGTCTGTAATGATCTTCTTATAAAACAGTTCCGAGTCACCACTTAAACAGCAAAGCACAATTTTCTTGATGCTGCAGTGCATCACACGTCAGACTCATATCCTCTGATCCTTTTTCCATGCCAGTCTGCAGTTCAAAAAGAAAATAAGCAGCTTTGCCCACAAGGCAACAGGATGACAGCTCATCCTGTGACAGTCTGGGATTTTCCTATTCACTTAGTAGCCAAGACTGCAGCCAAAACTTTCAGAGATCCTGCAGCTTCTCCATGAATAACGATTTTTAGCAGGCTATTGCCAGCCCCGAGTATTTACACATATGTCTAATATTAGGCCCTGGAACTGCGACGTGAAAAAGCCTTAACTCTTCGGTTACCTAAGATCACCTTCGCCAGGATCCCAACCAGAGTATTCCGGCAGAGAAACACCTCCGGCTAAAACTTGGGAAGGGCAGTAGTCAGCCCATCAGCCGAGAGAGAGATGTGCCTCTCTGCACAGCCACGGTGCCACCCGCACTCTCAGGGATCCTTTAGGGACCGCCCAAATAGCACAGCCGGTTTCTGACTGGGCCCGTGGACACGCGCTGCCCCAGCACCCGCGTTTCAGACGCCCGGACACGCACCTCCCCGCGCCCAGGGCCCCCGGGTACCTATCGCTGTGCTACCTCACAGGGCTGACAAGGCCCGCTGCCCCCCGCGCTGCCGACACCCGG